CCCATGAGGGGCCCGGCGGTGGACCTGCAAGGCCGGCGGGAGTGCAAAGAAGCCCCGCAAAGGCCCTCCCTGGCCCCAGGCAGGCAGGGGTGGGGAGAGGCGGGGAGGAAGCAACTTACCCTCCCTCTTCTCCTGCCTCCTCCTGGCTGAATGAGGGCCGGAAGCGGGGCGGCCGGAAGCAGGGGGCAGGGCTTCGTCATGTGCCCCGCCCCCGTACCTCACCCGGGGAACTGCGATCCCCCGTGATCCCCCCGAAATGACCTCTGGTTTAAGTTATGCAAAGTGAAAAACCCAGGGGTCATTTCGTAGAAAAAGAGCTAGGGGGACTCATTAGCATAACTCATTAGCATATGCCACACCCCCTGACATCACCAGAAGTGTGTCCTCCCCACAGCCGGCGGCGACCTCCAGCGGGCACCAGCAGGGAGCTCCAGACCTCGCCCTCTCGCACCTCACCCGGGGGGATAGCGTCCCCCCGCGTCCCCCCCCCAAATGACCCCTGCTGTTAGGTATCAAAGAGATTCAAAGAGCCTTACAGCCCATTTCAAAAGACAATGGATTACTTGCTTTGTTAGCTCTGTATAGACATACTAATTGTAAGGGGGCAGGGTGGTTTCACAGCAAACAGCCACATCTCTTTGGTACAGTGTCTATGCATTAGTCATGTCATTACAGTTTCAGCCTATATATACTGGGGTCTACGCATGAAATCGGTACACTCCAATGTTGCACTGCTCTGTTCTGAAAGAACTATACACTTGTAATAGTCTGTACACGGATGGGCAGATTGAGAGGGCACGTCCAGCCCAGCACAATCCTGGTTACACAGATGCAATTAGAACAGCTGTATAGGACTTTTGTTTTATTTTGTTGAAAAGGAATTATCTTAATTTAATATCTTCACATCTATGTCGACTGTGGTAAGAAAATTCTTACAATATCAACACTGAGCAATATCACAGGTGGGTTTTTTTAATAAAAATAAAGGATGCAAAACAGATGCTGGCAAATCGTGCTCCGTTTGGTATTGGAGGAGGTAAGATTTGGGGTTACACAGAAATCTTTATCATGCCTGATGTCTTTGTCAGTGTACCAGACAAAGACATATCACCTTAATTATCTTGTGTATTCTAATTTCCCGGGACAAATAGAGCAAAATGTGCCAATAATATTGGCATGTATCCTGCCATTCTACTCGACCAAGTTAAAAGCCTTTTCCAACCTATGGAAACTTCCTCCAACTTAACCTGCATCATCAGTATACCTTATTCTCAGCATAAATCTGCAGATTGGGCCATGTGCAGAGAAAACAAATACTTCTACAAACTTCGGGGACCCTCCAGGTTTCCACGGAAATCTGAAAACTTTCTTGAAAATGGGGGGAGAAATGCCGCCGTGAGAGAAGTGTTGTCAGCACTTGACAGACAACACAGCCTGGTCAGCCTGCATTGCTGTCTTGACTGGCTGCCACAGAGACCACACCCTGGAAGCTTGTAAACACAGTCCGGAATCAGGGTCAGTCACAGAGCCGAAAGTTAAAGAGCTGAGAAGTCAATTCAAGGTTGCAAGGACAAGGAGCAGCTGCTACACACATGCAGGAGCAGGTCTGAGTGAGCAAAGTTGCTGCCACATTGAACCAGGTGCACTGAGTGCTTTTGAGCAGGTCCTTCCTTTCCTGGGGGTTGAGTCTGCAAGGGCTTACAGCTCTTCCCTCTGCCTCTGCAGGAGCTGAAGTCTGAGACTCCTTCTCTGCTCCTGCATAGCCAGCCTCTGGCATGCCCTACGTCTGGGGCACTCAGGAGAACTAGGCAGGGAGTCTGGCCTTGGGGTGTCTGCAACTGGGGGTGCTGGGCCAAGCTCAGGATCGGCCTCTCCTTCTGGCTGCACCTCCTGTGCAGCTGCTGGGGACTCTTCCTCCTCAGGTATTGTTGAGGGTTCTTCTTCTGGGCTGATTCCAGAGGAGGCTGGGTTGCTCCCTGCCTCTTCCTCTTCTGAGGACCTCAGTACCCATGCAGACCTAGTACCCATGACACCTGTCATCATCAACTGACAGGTGGCAGGAGGGGCTGGGGAGAACGGGAACCACCACCACTCCCCGTCAAATGACCCAGAGGATGATGGGTGAGTAGACAGGCAGAGGAGTAGGGGGCAGATGAGTGAGTGAGCTTCCCCCTCCTCCACAAGTTTCTCAGGGCTCCCTGCTAGGGGGAGGAGCAAAAGCACAGGCCACTGCATCAGCTGGGATGGTGGAGGCGGCAGCACTACAGGTGGACGCACAAGTAAGTAAAGGAAGGAGGGAAGGATGGGATTCTCCTCGGAGGTGCCACAGCTTCCTCCCACTGCAAAGGTGACGGGGCAGGTAGTGGGGCAGAGGAGGAGGGAAGGGAGGATGGCAGGGAGGTTCAAGAGCCACCACTGTCCCCCCGCCACTGCCAGTGCAGGCAGACACGTCAGTGGCAGGGGTTAGGCAGGCAGGTGGGCAAGCCGAACAAGGGGCGAGGCGGTGAAAGGGCGAATGGTGCAGCAGTCAGGTGCTGTTGTCACCAAGATGTACCCTCCCCTGCACATTTCTGACAAATCCTTCACTTGTAATCTATAACAGGATGATGGTGCTTGACTGATTATTCATAGATTAAAGTCTGGAAAACTCTTTTTGATATATATATAAAAAACACATGCACAAAGCCATCCTGATGTTTAATATTGCAGCACAAAGCTCCACTCCATCAGTAGTCCAACGGTAACTGATGCCAATACAATATTTTCATCCAGCAATTACAGAAACTAACCCATATAGTTCTTCTTCCACTAAAATCTAGGTCCATTTGTACTCTGAATAGTTGTTGGCATTTTTATTTGGCTGCATTCCTGAGCAGAATGTTAATAGCTACTTGTGATTCCCCCACCACCACTTGTTGTCTATTATTTGCTCTAATTATCCATGATGATCATGATTGACAATGGGAGATGATGGTGTCAATGAATCTCGTAGCACCAGGCATTGTAGAAGAACCAGGGGTCATTTTGTAGAAAAAGAGGTGCAGGAGCTCATTTGCATAACTCATTTGCATAACTCATTTGCATAACTCATTTGCATATGCCACACCCCGTGACATCACCGGACGTATGTCAGAAGGCAACACCCACCGCTCAGGCTCCACTGGACTGTTTTGGATTGCTAGCTATTGGGGGGGGGGACGTGCAGATCTGTCCTTGCAGAGGAGGGAGAGCTTGTACCTGAATAAAACATGGTCTTAAAGGTGGCACTGGACTGTTTTAGGCGGGAGGGGGGCTCTGCAACTTACCTGCCTGCTTCTTGCTCAGACTGAGGGCTGCAGGGAGCAGGGGGTGGGGTTTGTTGCATGTGCCCGCCCCCTGGGCTCTTTCCTGCCGGAGCTCCGCTCCTGTGCGCTCCTCCAGGAAATGACCCCTGAGAAGAACTAATATAGCAATCGTAGTTTGGAGACAGATGACTTACCAAAAGTGTTATGGTGGAGGCTGAGCTCAGAACCACGGCAGTCAGGAGGAATCCATCTTGGCTAACGGTAAAATCTGTGCTATTTTGGATTTGGTATGTGACATCAGGGTTGACTTTCTAAAAATGGGGAATAGAAATCTAAATTAGGCATTAATCAAGCAAATGACCTTCAAAAGTCAGCTCTCCTGCTCTCTCGACGTTCTTGTCATGTTGGAGCAACATCCTAGGTGTGGGGCTTGACTGCTTGTATGAACTGTCCATCATTGTCAATACTTCCAAAACATTTCAGCTTGATAAACCAGCTGAGATACTGGAAGCCCCATATTTGGAGCTTCTTGCAGTTTCGTGTGTCCAATGTGTGTGGTCACAGTTAGGGCTAGGATGATATCGCTGTCCTAGCAATAATATTACTGGGTTGCAGAGTGTTTGTCTATATTTCTCTTTTCAATCCTCATTCTGGAAAGGCTGTTAATATTGCCACACCAGTCTTTCCATTCATCTGGCAATCCATAATTAGTAAAGTAAAGGTAAAGGTTCCCTTTGCTCGAAAGCCAGTTGAATCCGACTCTAGGGTTGCGGTGCTCATCTCCGTTTCAAAGCCGAAGAGCCAGCGCTGTCCGAAAACTTTTCCGTGGTCATGTGGCCGGCATGGCTAAACACCAAGGCGCACGGAACGCTGTTACCTTCCCACCGAAGTGGTACCTATTTATCTACTTGCAATTTCTTGCTTTCGAACTGCTAGGTTGGCAGGAGAATCCATAATTACACCATTTCAAAAAAATTTTGCAAAAAGAAAACTTCAGGATAGTCCATGGAAACATTATTGATAGAAAAAGGTTACAGACATATTTCAGTACATAAAGGAACTTCTCACAAAATATTTTCGAATGGATTTCTTTGCAATAGACTGATAGATCTATGTGCCTTTGCACAATGCACTGCAGAGTGTTCAGGTCAGATGTATATGTTGCTTTTGCCCTTCACCACAGGGGTTGGGAGTGGGGGCTGGTTTTGTAGGCAGTCCGCAGAGGAGAGAGCCCTTATGTGGCCAAATGGGCCCAAACTAGAGGGGGCTGAAAGCTGCTTTAAAAGGAGGCATTGCCCCACCCCCAGCTGTGGCATCCACCCTCCCTCTGTATAGTACAGTGGGTTGAATCTGTTTACCTTTGGCATCCAAGAAGGATTTTTTTTAAACCTCTTGAATCTGATTCAGAGTTGATTCAGAGTTAGTATTTCACCTACTTCATTCTACAGATCAGAGGAAGGGCTTGTTAGGACTCGAGTGGGTCAGTGATGTGAATTGATTTTCTTGGTCACAAATGATGGTTGCAGCATGTGCTGAACAGTTTGTCTAAAACCAGTAATTTGGATGGCCACCTTGAGGCATCCATTTAAAGGTGAAGGGGATGTTCCTCAGACCAGGATCTTGGGACTAATGTGGCTACAGAAACTAGGACAGGGTATCATTGGGCTTTCATGGTCCATGACCCAAAGATCTTGTATCTAGGGAGAAAAGATTTGCCAGGTTCTCCTCAAGCAGTAGTTAGTGCTTGGCGAGAAAGAGGCTTGGAGTCAGGGATCCCGATCAGACGGGTTTCTAGATCCACACCAGGCACTCAGACCTGGAGGATTTAAAGGTCATGACCAGACAGCAACATCTGGGAAATGGGCCTGTTCCGTGAGCATCCCGTACTTGGGAGCCGTACTTAAAAGATACTAGTTAAAATCTGGAGTTTTCGCTTCCCAACGGGCCAATTGCGGACTTTCCCCCGTCTGATCATTCCAGTGTGCAATTCTCCCATCGGGATGGTCTGATCTCAGCGGGTGCCATTAAGAAAAATTCTTAGCGATATGCGCATAAACGTGTAAACGTGCAACAGCTGCAGAGTTCCGCTCAAACATTCCGGGCAATTTCATGCCTCTAAACGGCCCATGAATTTTATGAAGTGCACTAATTAAAAAGGTACCTAGAGAGAGGTACCACTGGCGGTGCTTTAACCATTCAACTCTGCGTATGCGTGGAAAAACAAGTACACATTGAGGCGCGGATGCGCATGCGCGAACATAATTTAAAAAAAAAAACCCTGACCACATGGCTCCTTCAGGTGGATGCCATCTAGACAACCCACCACAGAGTATGCGTGCAGTAAGGGGAGCTGTCTAGTGACGTCTAGTGACGCAACGCCGGATAAAAAAGATCGGGATCAAATTAGAGCCGGGCCAATTGTGGTATTAAGTGTCCGTCTGAATGCACCCAGGGTGACTTTTCCAGATGTTTTGGGATGCCTACATAGAGGGGACCAGTGTTCCCTCTAAGCTGAGTTCGTGTGAGCTAGCTCACAGTTTTTTAGCCTCCGGCTCATACACTTTTGTCTTAGCTCAGGAAGGATGGCTCCAGAGCAGACTTATTCACGCAGCAGCCAAATCGCTTGCTCACAACTTTAATGTCAGTAGCTCACAAAGTAGAATTTTTGCTCACAAGACTCCACAGCTTAGAGGGAACATTGGAAGGGATCGGACTCCTCTGTACCCTGTGTAGGGTATTCACACTATATTTGAGTTATATTATCAGTTGCTGCCAGATGCAGATCTTTCTTGTATTTAATAAAACTGTAGTCCATTTGATACCCAATACCTGTGTTGACTCTATTCATGCCATGTCTTTCAGCAATCAGGATTTGCAGATTTGTATAAGTACAGATATAAACGTAGAATCAGGTCAGGTGGACGGGATCCAAAGATCACAATAAACCCTCTAAAAATGGATTCTCCATTTATGATCATTATTATTAATGGCTCCATCCCTGTGATATCTGACATTTCTTTAATTCCTTACGTCTGGAAAGTCTTCATCAGCAGCAAAGATCCGCAGGGGTCTCAAAGGTATTTCAGCATCCATTACCAGACTGTAAATAGGTTGGTCCACAGGCACTGTTCCTAAGTAAGCAGTCTTCTCAAACTGGGGCTTGTAGTCATTTCTACGCACAATACTGATTTCCACCACCGTTTGGGAATATCTGAATGGATTATTAGCTTGGGAGGCCTGGAGAAAGAGAGAGTGAAAGGCTCATATACAGTCATCCTTCTTACAGAGTGACTTTGTGGAAGAAAAATGTTGAGATTCTTTTTAATAGATGCTTAAGAGCTGGAATTAGAGGGTTTACTCTTCCCTGTGACAGTGACGTTTAAGCTACAACCTTGTAGAATGCTTCAGCCTTTTAATACTCTTTAATACTCGGCCGATTTGGCCATGTGGAACCATGGCACGATTACCTTGAGACTAGATTATTGTAATGCTCTCTTGTAGTCAACTGGGGCACTCCAGCTGGTATAGAATGCCACAGCTCAATTACTATCAGGATGTAGGCAGAGTATGCATATTACACCCATTCTGCAGTCACTCCGTTGGTTAACTATCCGTTAACGGGTTCAACTCAAGGTACTGGTTATCACATGCAAAGCCCTTCATGGACTTCTGCAGGACCTCCATTCCTGTGTTTCTCCATGACAACTTCACTAATCTGAGCAAAAGCTGTTTGAAAGTGCTACCCTGCAAATGGGTAGGATCGACAGCTACCCAAACATGTGCCTTCTCTGTTGTGGTTCCCACCTTGTAGAATAGCCTGCCTTAGAAGGTCAGGAAAGCTCACACTTCTATTGTCCTATTGGAATAGTTCAGGAAGGCACTTTTACAAAGGGAACAGGGTTGTGGTCTATTCCGCTGTTTATTGTATGCATCATCTTGCTGTTGCTGCATTGTCTTTGACTTCTGTAATTCCATTTTTGCATGGTCTATCATGTGTCTGACAATTTTTTTGCATTTTTAATTTTTTTTGGGGGGTGACTCCAATTCTATTGCATGGTCCATGGGTGTTTCACACTATCTGATTACATGATTTTATACTGTGCAATCCGCCTTGAGTCTCAGCAACAAAGACAGGATATAAATACATGAACAAGTAAGCAGCTCAAGTATGCCACAAAGATTACGTAGACTCAGGGCTATTTTTGGGCAGGAACGTTACGTAGACTCAGGGCTATTTTGGGGCAGGAAGGCACAGGAACGGAGTTCCGGCTGGCTTCAGAGTTGCCCACACCCTCTACAGCCAAAACCTCTGCATGCGTGGCTACAGAGGGAAGGCCTGGAGAGTGACCCCCCCCAGCAACTCTGAGGCGGGGGGCCAGGGGGTCGTGGAAGGATCGGGGAGGCATTTAAATGCCTCCCTGTGCCTTCCCAGGCCTGTCCAAGGGCCGGCTTGCCCGGGCACCTGGGCAAGCCAAGGGAAGGCATGGGGTGTGGCCTGATATGCTAATGAGCTTCTGCTGTTGGGTGTGGCCTATTATGCTAATGAGTTCCTGCTGGGCTTTTTCTACCAAAAAAAGCCCTGTTTTAGTACAGAGGTAGTTTGCATTTACACTAGTTATTTCCCCGGGGATATGGCCCAGGGAAAACTGCTACCATTTGCACACTTCCAAACTTTGTTGTAGGAAAGCAAGTTCCTAAACAAAGAGGCCACTTCCTTAGAAGTAGATGTGGGGGCTGGGAATGTTTTCAGTCTTTCCCTCAAAACAGCTGGCTAGAGCCCATTTGAGCCAGCAGATCTTCTCCCAAGGAAGGATTTAGAATCAGGTGGATGGGAAGGATTCCAGCCTGGCATTGCAAGTATTTGACTTATGGCAATTGATGGCTGTCATAAGATGCTCAGAGGTACAGGAACGGGATGTGATCTTAATTTGCATGTCTTTTCATTTAGATAGTTGTGCAGCATACTGGTACAAGGCAACTGATATGACAAAAGTCAGGATTGCTAGCCATTTCAGCAAGGTTCTGTGGGAGTAGCTCCAGGTTCCAGTATCCAGGGCTATTTTTGGGCAGGAACGCACAGGAACGGAGTTCCGGCTGGCTCCCAAGTTGGCCACGCCCAGCAGGAACTCATTAGCATAATAGGCCACACCCAACAGCAGAAACTCATTAGGATTGGCTACATTAGGGGTGTGTGGCCTAACATGCAAGGGGTTCCTCCTACAAAAAAAGCTCTGGGTTTTGACGACAAACAAGGTAAACAGAATAAGAAGCAAAAGGTGGGTGTGGCTGGATGAGCACACTTCTGGTAACATGGGGGGTGCGGCCTAATGTGCTAATGAGCTGTGCTGTCAGGGGTGTGGCCTAATATGCTAATGAGTTTCTGCTGTTGGGTGTGGCCTATTAGGCTAATGAGTTCCTGCTGGGCTTTTTCTACAAAAAGAGCCCTGCCTGTATCTATGTTTCAGGACAAATGGATACATGTCATTTTGCACCACCCTTCTCCTGTGGAGCCACTGGATACTGCGATTATCAAAAGACTTACCATGACATACAACAGAAATGTTCTTAGAGTGTTTACAGGCTTGTTCATTGTTATGTTCCCAGTATCTCTGTTTACTGAGAATGTGTCATTGTCGTTTCCTAAGAAAAAAAAAAGAGGATGTAACTACTTAGCATTTGTGATGACCACAAGAAAGAGTGTAATGAAGGTACTGCGCTGTGATATTGAGGTTGCCAGCTCTGGGTTGGGAGATTCCTGAAATTTGGGGGATGGAGTCTGGGTATGGCAGAGTTTGGGGCAGCGAGGCACGCCAGCAGTATATTGTTGTTGTTGTTCAGTCACACAGTCGAGTCCGACTCTTCGCGAACCCATGGACCAGACCACGCCAGGCCTTCCTGTCTTCTGCCGTCCTCTGAAGTTGGCTCAACTTCATGTTCGTTACATCTATGACACTGTCTAACCATCTCATCCTTTGCCATCCCCGTCTTCTTTGACCTTCAGTCTTTCCCAGCATCAGGGTCTTCTCCAGTGAGTGCTCCCTTCTCATTTGGTGGCCAAAGTATTTGAACTTCAGTTTCATTATCTGGCCTTCCAGGGAACAGTCAGGGTTGATTTCTTTTAGGATTGACTGATTTGATCTTCTTGAAGTCCAAGGGACTCTCAAGAGTCTTCTCCAGCACCATAGTTCAAAAGAATCTATTCTTCGGCGCTCGGCCTTCCTTATAGTCCAACTCTCGCAGCCATACATGACAACTGGGAATACCATTGCTTTGACCATGCGGACTTTTGTTGGCAGGGTGGCAGGTATATTATGCCCTAGCGATGGTTCTCCGGGGGAACTGATCTCTGTCGCTCGGAGATCAGTGGTAATTCGGGGAGATCTCCGGCCACCCCCTAGCAGCTGGCAACTCTATGGGATATGCAGTTGTCATGCTACTGGACTTTGGAACTGAAGGGGGATTCCAGGACTGGGCCATGTAAAGTTTCAGGCTCCACTGGGACCCTAAAGCTACAGGGCCAATTGTAGCTATGGACTGACAGCTCAGAGGGTAAACCAGACAACATTTTAAGAGACCTATCCAGGGAATCTGGGATCTGAAGGCCGGAGCTGGAAATGTGGAGCAGGATTAGGGAGATGGGGGGGTGGGGAGTCAGAAGAGCTGGAGCAGCAGCTCGGCACAACCACAATACTTGTGGGTGGGGGATAGAGGCCAGGGGTCATTTCCTGCAGGAGCACACAGGAGCGGAGTTCCGGCAGTAAAGAGCCCAGGGGGCGGGCACATGCAACAAGCCCCACCCCCTGCTCCCAGCAGCCCTCAGTCAGAGCAAGAAGCAGCCAGGAAAGTTGCAGAGCCCCCCCCCCCCGCAGCCCTGG